TTAGCACAGGCATATTATTCAAAGGCTTTGGGCTGGAATGACACAGAGATGTCATCAAAGTAGAACTTACAACTGGGGGGAAGAAAACAACTTCTCTTTTTGCTCTCTGGAAATTGGCATCTGGGCAGAAATCGTGACTTCATTAGTAGGATGACGTTTATATGAACACAATTAATTAGGCTAATACTGGAGACTTCCCCTCAGCACATGCCCCATGAACCAGTGTCAGGCTTAAATTTATATCCAGTCTACTCTATAAGAGGGGGGCTTATGACTCATTTGAAAACTAGACACCAATCTCCAAGACTAAGGCTTCCATCAAAACTACCTGTCAAATACATTGTTATACAAAATACCTGATAATTATGTGTAACCAATATAGATGACACTGTAAGGTCAAGCTAACACCAATCTATATGGCATCTGCTTCCAAACCACGTTTGTTTCTGCAACCCCAATCTGATGTCATTGTGCTCCTCAAGTCACAGAGGTATGAGTTACAGAGTTCTAGAAATGGATAATCTTAAACATTATGTTTTATTCTGCCTTTTGCAGCATATGTTCCTTGGGGGTCACTTGACTCTATTCATTTAAGATCAATCTCAGAAAAAACGGTTAATTAGACATGTATACAACTTTAAGTCTTTTTGAATTGCTCCTTCAAAAAATTGGCGTTAACAATAATTTTAGGCACCAAAATTATATTGCCATTCATTTATGAAATTGTTTTGCAAAAAGTAACTTTTTCCAGACTCTGAAATCAAGGCTACCTTGCACTTCCCATGAAGTTTTGTAAATATTTTTTAAAACTCTTTTTCTTTTTATCAACTGGTATATGCCCATTGTGTTAAATACAGAAAAGTATAAAAAGAAAGGAATAATTGCCCATATCCATACCACACAGCTATAACTAACTATTGGTAATGGTTGAGCATATTTTGTTCCAGCATTTTTCCTACATGTACATTTTTTTTCTTATAGTGCTGAGTATAGAGTCTGTAAATCTTGTAATGATCTTTGACCAAAAGCAATAAAATCCGAGACTTAGTAAATAGAAGAAAAAGCTGTACCTTCCAAAAGATAACACCCTCTGAACCTAATTTAAATGGGTTTGGGACCTCTTCTTGGCTTCTGAGTAACTTACAAAACTTCCTACTCATTATCATCACTTATATTCCAGAATGATCTTTTCAAACTATTGACTACATCAATGTGATGATGTTTATATGAACACAATTAAATAGGCTAGAATAGGAGACTTCCCCTTACCATATTCCCCATGAGCCATGGGGCAAAATTGCTCTAGGCCCAGATATAGAACAGTAAGGCTTAGATTTATATCTAGTCTACTCATATACTGGGAGCCTTATGATTCATTTTGAAAACTAGATACTGATCACCAATAGTTTGGAGTTTAAAAAGAGAGAGAGGTTGGTTGTGGTGCCTCATGCCTGTAATCCCAATATTCTATAAGGCCAACATGGGAGGATTGCTTGAGACCAAGAGTTCAAGACCAGCCTGGGCAACACAGTGAGACTCCCCACATCTCTACAAAAATTTTTTTCTTAACTTTTTTTTAGTTGGCCAATTAATTTCTTTCTATTTTTAGTAGAGACAGGGTCCCACTCTTGCTCACACTGATTTCAAACTCCTGACCTAGAGCGGATCCGCCTTCCTCGGCCTCTCAGAGTGCTAGGATTATAGGCACCACACCTGTAATCCATGTGAGCCACCACGCCCGACCTCTACAAAAACGTTTTTTTTATGGTGTTCTTCAGATTTTATTTATTTATTTATTTAATTTTTGAGACACAGTCTCACTCTGTTGCCAGGGCTAGAGTGAGTGCTGTAGCGTCAGCCTAGCTCACAGCAACCTCAAACTCCTGGGCTCAAGCAATCCTACTGACTCAGCCTCCCTAGTAGCTGGGACTACAGGCATGTGCCACCATGCCCGGCTAATTTTTTCTATATATATTTTTAGATGGCCAATTACTTTTTTTCTATTTTTAGTAGACGGGGTCTCGCTCTTGCTCAGGCTGGTTTCGAACTCCTGATCTTGAGGGATCTGCCCGAATTGGCCTCCCAGAGTGCTAGGATGACAGGTGTGAGCCACTGCACCCGGCCTTATTTATTTATTTTAATAATTTTTTTCAGCATATTATGGGGGTAAAGTCGTTCAGGTTACATACATTGCCTTTGTCTCCCCTTTCCCCTGGAGGCAGAGCTTCAAACGTGTGTATCCCCCAGACAGTGTGAATCACACTCACTATGTATGTATATACCCATCCCCTCCTTCCCCCTGCCTCACACCCGACAAATGTTTGTTTTTCTTTTTTTCTTAACATTTTGGTTACCTTTTATATCTTTGCCTCTCCCTAGGAAGGATTAGAGGCATGCACTTCCCCGACACAATGTTCGCCCCATCCCACAGCCGTGAGACTACCCCTCCAACCCCCCCCACCCCAATCCCTGGTGAACACCACCACCCTTTGAGCACCATGGTGTTCAATGGCTCAAGACAGTTGAGTACCATCTTTTTTATACAGAATTAGCCAGGCATGGTGGCTCCTGTAGTCCCAGCTACTCTGGAGGAGAATCCCTTGAGCCCAGGAGGTTGAGTTTACAGTGAGCTATGATTACGCCCCTGCACTTCAATCTGGGCGACAGAGTGAGATCCTGTCTGTAATAAATAAATAATAAATAAATAAATAGATAGATAAATAAATGAATAAATAAATAAATAAATAAAATAAAGAGAGGCCGGCCAAAAACTCTTTGAAATCTGATTTTAATTCGTTGACCAAAAAAATTATTAAATGTCCCATTCATTTCCATATTGCCATAGCATTATTGAAATTCACAGGCCTTTAAAATCTAAACTCTTTGCCACAATCAAAGACGACCTACTGAATCACTCATTTGAAAATGCACTCTCAGAATACTCAAACAAGGATGATGACCTTGCATTGATTCAGTAGAATTTTCTCACCGTTCCCCCTTAAGACCAAAGGTGTGTGCTTTTGCATCAGCCAGCAGCAGGGATGTGGTGGTCTTTGCCCAGAGACCAATGAAAGCAAACTGGACTAGAAGAGGATCGATCTAGGACCTCATCAATCCCACACTCTAGACAAAGGTCAGTGTAATTGCATTACTTTAAGTAAAAGGAGCCTATGAAAACCTACAATAAGAGAATGGTAAACCTTGAGGTGATATTTGCTTTAGAATTCTTTCCCAGAGAAGTCCTTTAAATAACAAACTCCCTTTGTATATTTAAAGTAAGATTCAATTATATTAAAACACACCTTTCAGGAACTTGCTCCAGAGGAGGGCCCTGTACACATGAGCTTACTATTTTTCTGGGAAATCTTTTAACTACAGTATTACTATTTGATACATTTAACACAATAAATAATTACCAACATTTCATTTTCATTATAAGGGGTATCATTTGAGGTTCCATCCAGAGCTACCAGGTAAACTTGAGCTTCCTGTTCCTCAAGGTGTCCTTCAGGCTGTTTGGATTTTTAGAAAGGTGTTTTTAAAAAGACATAAAATATGGAAACTTTTAATACTTTCAAAATAGTTGTGAAATACCTGGACCCAGGACACTGAGATCTCAAGATCCCTATTTACATAACCTTTATAAAACTAAAATGTGACTTAATGGGTTCGGTCCTAGTCACAAAATACCTTATTTATTTTCATAATGAGTTTTTTTAATTCATTTGCCTATTAAACTAAAAAAGATGTGTATGGGGGGAGGGGATACAAAATAATTAGAGCAGGACAGGCTACACAGTTTGCCAGGCTCAGCATAGAATTGAGGATGCAGGGCCCCTCGTTCAAAAATGGACAATTTCAAGAGAAAGGCAGAGCGTTCAACCAAGCCCAGGTCTTTCTAAGTGCAGACCCCCGCGCCTGCACGGGTCGCACGCCCATGAGGCCGGCCCAGCATGGGCCCTTTGCCTTCCCCGAGTCCCCAACCCTCCAATCATAGTGTGCCAGGGTGCGGGATGGATGCTGGCTTTGTTGTCACACAGCTGAGCTTTAGATAAAACTCTAGGCACAGCTAATTACTATGAAATCACCGGGCCCAGCGTTATAAAACAGAATACACTTTTCTCTTTCTTTTCCTTTATTGAAAAGAGAGAGGTTTTAGGAGTCGTCCCTCCACCCCCGCCGCCACAGTGTTTCTTACACTGAGGAGAATCCCGGTTCACTGTTAGCAAATTGTCTGCCGGCGACAGGGCTCCGCGCCCCAGAAGGCGGCCGTCCCCAGCCTGGGAGCCTGCAGGGCCGGTTCCTGCGGCCTTCGGCGCATCCCCCCAGGGACGCGGCCACTGTCTCCCCTGGAAACCCTACGAGAGATGCTCCCTCCCTGGCGACCGTCTGTCGGTTTCTTTCGCTCGGCCAGGGCGGCACCTCCGTCCCTCCCGCGCCCCTAGTCCCCCCGCAGCCTCCGCGGCACGTCCCCCCGCAGCGGGGCGACAGGGGGCCTCCGCAGCCCCGCGCGCCCCGGTCCCTCCCCGCGCACCCGCGCTCCCGCCCCGGCTGCCGAGCCTTCCAGACGCGCGGGCCCTCCCGGGGCAGCGCGGGAACCCCGGCCCCGCGCCGCGGGCTCGGGCACAGGCCGGCCCGGGCTAGGCGGCCCGGGGCCTCCAGATGGCCCCGCGCCCGGCTCCCCTCCGCCGTCGCCGCCCTCCCCCGCAGGCTCCCCGCCGCGCCCTCCGTCCCGCTTCCCCCGCAGGCCGGCGCCACCGCCCCGGGGCGCGGGGGCACCGCGGGCGGGTCCCCCCCGCGCCCGGACCGCTGCGGCCCGCGGCCTGTGCGTGCGCAGCGCCCCGCGGCCGCGCCCGCGGGCGGCAGGGAAGAGGCGCGGCGCGCCCGGCCGGCCGCCTCGCGGCCCGCGGCCGCGCCTCCCGGCCCGCCCCGTTTCCTCCCGGCGCGGGCGGCGGCGGCGCGGCGCCTCGTGCGCGCGGTTATTTATTTATTTCCGGGCCCAGAGCGCTTATAATGGAGCCGCTGTCAGCAGAGCCTCCTGCCGCCGCCGCCGCCGCCGTCCCTCCTCTTTTTTTTCCCGGCAGATCTTTGTTGTGTGGGAGGGCAGCGGGGATGGACTTGAGCTTGCGGAGCCCCTGCTAGAGCAGCCGCGCTCGGAGGACGCGCCGCAGCCGCGAGCCGGAGCCGCCGCCGCCCCGAGGCCCCGCCGGACGCGGCCGCCGCTCGCCCCCGCGCCCCTCGCCTCCTCGCAGATCCCCTCGCGGCGGCAGATGTGCGTGGGGCCAGCCCACGGCGGGGACTATGGTGAAATTCCCGGCGCTCACGCACTACTGGCCCCTGATCCGGTTCCTGGTGCCCCTGGGCATCACCAACATAGCCATCGACTTCGGGGAGCAGGTAAGCCCCGGCCGCGCCCCGCGCCCAGCCGGCGCAGCGCCGCCCCGCGCCCCGCGCCCCGCACCCTGCGCCCCGCACCCTGCGCCCCGCACCCTGCGCTCCCCGGTCGCTATCGCTCTCCCTCGGCCTTGGACGCCCCGGAGCCGGGGATGGGGGCAGTGGGGAGTCACCTGCTCCTGTTCTCTTTTTATCCTGGGGCATTTGGGATTGCAGCTCGTGGAGGATGACTTTTCTAGCACCCCCTTCCCTCCCTCCCCCCTGTTATTCAGCAGACTTTTCCAGCCCTCTCTGGAAAATGTTAAAAAAGACCGGATGGTGCGAAGCTGCACCTATAGAAGGGTTTTTAGTGCACGGGAGTATTATATAATTTGCGATTATGTAAACCTCAGCTCCGTAACTGAAATGTAGTTTCTAGGAGGTTAAGTGCAGGGTTCGTATTTATCCATGGTTGGTGGAGATGGTGCTGTGGGGAGATTTTGTATTATTACGTGTCCAAGTTGATTTCCCAGGTATTTCTAATTTTTAAAAATTTGTTTTGTAGCCCAGGTAAAGATTAGGGGTGTCCCAACTGTGTCCTGGTTAGCTGACCTTTGGCCATTTCCAGTTTTGCATTTCCTTTCTTTTTTTTTTTTTTCTTTCTCTTTCTTTTTTTTCATGAACCATTACAGAAGGGAAGCACAATTTTGTTTCGTGTTGCCTTCTCGCCCTTGTTTGTTTTTCATGTTTTCTCCATGTGGCGTCATTGCAAATCGTGCGCTGCAGGCTCTCCAGCGGCGGGCATTGGTACCCTGCACTTTGCCTGGGAGGAGCGTTTTCTCAGGGCTTCCAGCAAGATGCAGTTGCCTTCTAAGGCCCGGGGAAGATTTTGGGATGGGGACGCCAGTAGCATGCCATCTTGATGGGCAGGTGTCCGGAGTCACCAGGGCATGTGATGAGCAACACCCTTGGTATTATGCTACCGTCTTTTTTTCTGTAAATCCAGAGACTTAAAAGGATATTTATAGAGTATACACCTGTTTTGATGCTAATTTTAAAAGCCAAGCAGCTTTTCAGAAGGCAGTTACAAACCCGAGATTTGTTTGACTCCTTTGTCTGATGAATATCTACTTGGGTTTGTCTCTCTGTGCTCAGAACTTTTGAACAGTTGCAACTCTATTAGCTCCTTAGTATGTAGCCCACATTGTAAACTTCTTTTTACTTTGAATTGTAGATGAATTTGATAGGTGCTCACAGTGTGGCATATTCAAGTCTAGAGACCTTTGTCTAGGAAGCCACCAGTTTCTGTTGATGAAATATTGCGTCTTTCTGTTGCCCTCTCAGCCTTGCCAGTCCCTCACAAGGGTACCCAAGGGCTCTTTTTCTCTACTGCTCCACCTCGGTCCTGCCCACCTCCCTTCTTTCATAAGTAACTAGTAATTTTGAGCATTTCCTATCATCTATGGGAAAGTTTTGAGATATGAATTTACTACATTGCACGTTTTAGATAAGTCAAGTGCTGTATGTTCACCTGAACCTTTTGCTATTTTAAGGCTTATAGTCTTGGAGTTGCCCCAAAGGTTGTCAGAAAGCCAGGACTGTTCTGAATGAGACAGAGAGAGAGAGAGAGAGAGAGAGAGAGAGACAGAGTAAAGAGGGGAGAGGGGAGAGGGGGGAGAGGAGAGAAAGAATCATACAGGGGTAACTAACTAGTGGAAATAAGAGTAGTCTTTGTTATAATTAAACGACCTAAAGCATACCACTGTACTGCCTCCCGTCTGCTTGATTTAATAAAAAGGCTGATGTAACGAGTTGGATTTTAGTATAAGGAAAAGGATCTCCTGAGATCACAAAAGGGGGACTAGACATAAGAAACAACTATACAGATGGTTTATGGGTCTAATAATTCAAACTCATCCTTAAAACATTGCTAACTTGATTATCATAGCTGATGTAAGCAAAGTACTAAAAGAGTTGTCTTTTTGCACAAAAGCAAAATGTTATCAACAAGTGTCATTTGAGGTCCTTTTCCCGCAAACACCAGAGTATTTATGAGGTTATAGGCTGCCTGGTAGTGGAGATATTTTATCACAGAGTTAGGGGTGGAGCCATAGGGGGAAGAAATTGATAGGTTTCCAAAACCTTGCTTTGCCTTCTGGTGTCAAATGATAATTGTTTTGCAAAATGGTACAAGGTGAGGAAAATGGTACTTATTCTTTCTCAGTATTAAACTAGAGGGAAAGAATTACAGTGGGAGCTAAGGAGTGGCCTGGTATGTATGAGTGATGAATAGAAGAATATTTTACCCATCTGCTCGGAAGCACAGTAAAGAAGAGGGGAAATGAACCAATTTGCAAAAGTGGGTCTACGTTTGACTTCTGAAAATATGCAGCTCTCAAAATGAATTTGTATGGAGTTCCAGACAGATGGACACATGTAGGTCCTGCCACTGAGCGGGCAGGTGTATTATACCTTGCTGTGAGTGAATGAGGACTCATATGTCAGTGCTTTACAGATCCTGAGGTGGAGGGGAGGAGATACAGATGTACAAAGGTAAATGTAGCCTGTTGGTCACATGCTTTTTTTTTTTAAGACAGAGTCTCACTCCCTCAGCCTGGGTAGAGTACAGTGGTGTCATTGTGGCTCACTGCAACCTCAAACTCCTGGGCTGAATTGATCCTCCTGCCACAGCCTCCTGAGTAGCTCGGACTACAGGCATCCACCACCATGCCTGGTTAATTTTTCTATTTTTAATAGACACAGGGTCTTGCTCTTGCTCAGGCTGGTCTCGAACTCTTAAGCTCAAATAGTCATCCCACCTCCACCTCCAAGAGCGCTAGGATTAAGGCATGCGCCACTGCGCCCCGGTGATCACATGCTTTTGAGATGATTAAGAAATGCAGGTCGGGTGTGGTGGCTCAGGCCTGTAATCCTAGCACTCTGGAAGGCGGAGGCAGGAGGATCCCTCAAGCTTAGGAGTTCAAAACCAGCCTGAGCAAGAGCGAGACCCCGTCTCTACTAAAAATAGAAAGAAATTAATTGGCCAACTAAAAATATATAGAAAAAATTAGCCGGGCATGGTGGCACATGCCTGTAGTCCCAGCTACTCGGGAGGCTGAGGCAGAAGGATTGCTTGAGCCCAGGAGTTTGGAGTTGCTGTGAGCTAGGCTGATGCCATGGTACTCTAGCCCGGGCAACAGAGTAAGACTCTGTCTCAAAAAAAAAAAAAAAAGAGATGCAAAATAAAAAAAAACCATCCCATTAGCTTTTAAGTCTCTGGCTCATCAAGAATAGAAGAATAGCAAAATCATTTTAAATGTTTCTTAGAAGTGGTATTTTTATGATTATAAACATTATAGTTTATGGCTTCTTTAGAGATCCAGCTATGTAGAGATTCCACTGAAAGTTAAATAAACTGCTCTTACATGACTGTGTAAAGGAATTACCCATTAATGACTCCAAGGCCATCAGCCGTGGGGGGAGGGGCTATGAAGAAGCCTTGCAACCATCTCTCCAGAACCTTCAGATATTCTTCACAAACATGATCTATTGTATATAGATTTCTCTGCCATTTTATAGCTTAGTCGGGTAGGAAACCCAAATATTATGCAGCATTTATTCTAACAAAACTAGTAAAACCTATTATCACATTTTTTTCAATTTTGGTGGTAGCAGTAATTTGAGGGGGTGAGGAGAAGAAAGGTTGAATTCTACACTGAACAAAAAAAAGCTACATGGAATAAAGTGATCTGCTTTTTAATATTAAACATAGAAAAGAGTGAGAACACATCTATTTTTATTTGCAGAAACTGTTTGTGGAACCTTATAGGCATGTAAAATACATTGTGATGATTGCCATATATCTAGATAATTCTCTCTATATGTTATATATATGTTTTATCTCCATTTTTACAGATTGAGAATCAAAAGTATTAACCACTTCCATTCATTAAGCACCTAGTATGTATTTATAATATCTCAGCACTGTGATATAAGAGGAAAGAATGAAAGGCCTAGGCATGTTAAGACACTTGCTTAAGATCACATAGGTAGTAAATGGCAGAGCTAAGGTTCAAGCTTACAGACAGCCACCTGGTCCTTACAAACTTAGGAATAAGTTCTAGCTTAGCTGTCATATTTTGAATTTTAAAAACTCAGCAGATGTAGGACAAACAAAAAGGGGGCTCCTAGGAAAGGAATATTTATTTAATAAATGATTCATTTAACAAATAAATTCATTTTAAGGAAAGTTGAATTACTGAGATAATCAGATCAACACTGTCTCTTGTTTTAACAAAGTTGGCATGGCTTTTAAAGGTCAGGGGGAGAAAATAAGAAACAATTGATACTCCATAATAAAGTTATTTTGAAGTCACTTAGTCTTTATCATTAGAACAATACAGATTGCTAAGGAAAGAAGGAGGATGTTGAGATATTTTGTAAACAATGTATTTCTTTTAAAAGTATTTGCAAATGTCCATTTGATCTCACCATAGTCAAAGGACTTATTTCTGTTTAAAACGAAATTTGGTACCAAGTCACTGATTTCCTTAAAAGCCAAGTTCACCAAATTATGTAGAATAAATGAGCTTTTTTTTTTTTTTTTTTTTAAGGTACTAGTGACACTTAAAATGTTAAGGATAACTTTTCTGTGAAGACTTTGAAAGAGTAAAAAAAGAAAGTTGAAATTGTTTTCAGGTCAGAAGAAATGTGTTCTGTCTAGGGCCAGGTAATCTACTCTTTTACATTCAAATGTGAAAGAAGTCTTATTTCAGAAACCTCAATACCTTTCAAGTACTTTAGGTATTTCAAATTGCCCTGAATGATTCACTGAATTTGTCTGGGTCTAATAGAAAAGCTCTCTTATACAGGTGTCCACTGTATAAGAGAGTCTCTGGCCAGCCTGGTGGTTCATGCCTGTAATCCTAGCACTTTGGGAGCCTGAGGCAGGAGGATTGCTTAAGGCCAGGAGTTTGAGACCAGCCTGAGCAAGAGACCCCATCTCTAGAAAAACAGAATAATTA